AGAGAGAGAGAGAGAGAGAGAGAGAGAGAGAGAGAGAGAGAGTTAGTTAGAAATAGTTAATAATCACCCAACGTATAATATATCCGAGGTAACATCAACACGCTATCTAGCAGCACTTATATGTTATCAGTAATAATCGGGCGACAGCTTGAGAGCTAATGGCTGCGCGCATGCGCGCGTGATGAGAACAGCTCCTATATATTATCAAGAGCTAATAAATACCTACGTACTAATATTATACCTACGTACACACGGGTGCGGTTATGGATCGCAAAGATGTTGTGAGCGCCTGCTCATTATGCATACAATGCATGCGAAATAATAACGATGACCAGAGAACTGATTAAAAAGAATAGCCGGCACTAGGTTCTTTTCGCATGCAAATGATCGAGCCAGCAGCGGAGCGGGGTTGGTGGAGCTGTAACCTCCCCCAGCAGGGTGTGGGGCTGGGAGAGGTTACAGGGTATGGGGCTGGGGGGCTGGAGGAGGTTACAGGGTGTGGGGCTGGGGGAGATTACAGGGTGTGGGGCTGGGGGAGATTACAGGGTGTGGGGCTGGCGGAGATTACAGGATGTGGGGCTGGGGTGAGGTTTCAGGGTGGGACTAGTGGAGGTTACAGGGTGTGGGGCTGGGGGAGATTACAGGGTGTGGGGCTGGGGGAGATTACAGGGTATGGGGCTGGGGGAGATTACAGGATGTGGGGCTGGGGGAGATTACAGGGTGTGGGGCTGGGGGATGTTACATGGTGTGGGGCTGGGGGAGCTTACAGGGTGTGGGGCTGGGGGAAGTTACAGGGTGTGCGGCTGGGGGAGATTACAGGGTGTGGGGCTGAGGGACTGTAAACTCCCCCAGCAGGGTGTGGGGGGGGGAAGCACCGTACAGTAGCGCGATTTAATGCTGCTTTATTTATCTTGTTTTATTTTTTCACTAATTATTATTATTATTATTATTATTTATTTTATTCTTGTTTTTTATTTAAATTATTTATTATTATCAATGACTACTACTGAGTCTATTTCGCTCGTGAATGGACTGATGACCCCTGAAGTCCCTCTTCTCCTGCATCCTTCTGCTGCTTACAGATATCACAATTCAGCCACGCGATTATTACACGCACAGGTAGTGCCTGGAGAAATATATTGCTTTTTTTCACAGATAATACTTGAGAACAAGGCTATTAATGAAGAGTTGAAGTTCGCTCTCTATCCGCGGGCCGACGAGAGGGACTATTACCTGGAGGCGCCTGTGTTTAGACCCATGTCTACGGAGTTATCTTACCGTAAGAACCCTTCTGTTGGTGTGCCTCATATATATATATATAAACCTTCTTCTCGTCGCATCCGGAGTGTTGTATTGAAACTAATGGCGTAATAACGTAATGCTATTATTAACGTCTTAAATTTTAACGATGGTGTCTCTAATAAAAGCGTCTTATATTAATAATATGGCATCTCTAAGCTCGAGCGAGCGTAGTGGAATTACACGGGATTTTCTATAATATATTCGTTGTTATAACGCAGTGGAGAAAGCTTATCTAGGTACTCAGTTGAATAAATTCTTTCCCCTCACCTCGTCTGCAGTTGCCGTGTACGTGTATACGTACGCCGTAGAGTTTCTGGTCTCACGAGCCATGCAACCAACCCCCGTTGAACCGTTGTACTTCTAATGTACCTACTCGTAAATCTGGTCATTTTTAGAACTGAACTTTACGTATGTTGTACGCTGTGTGTATACGGTTCCAAAATGGTCCATGTGAAGCGGGGGACAAGTGTATTTGCTTTATCGATGTTTCCCTGCCATCCTCTTCCCGTTAGTTACAACGTACGTCGTCGAAGTGTACACGGCGGACAGGGAGGCAGAGAGTCCAATGATCCCCTACATCAACATTGTCGGAGATAGAGGCCAGACGGGCAAACGGCAGTTGTTCGAAGGAGCGGCAAACAACAGCTTCGGCAAGGGCCAGGTAAGCAAATGCGTTCATCGTAACAAGGGTTAATAATGACAAATATTGTTGTCACGTTGTGTCAAATTGTCAATTCTCAACTGTCAATTGTTGTGTCAAATTGTCAATTGTCAACTGTCAATTGTTGTGTCAAATATTGTTGTGACAAATATGTTTGTAATTATGAGCCTCTGATTGTAATTAGGTGCTAGAGAGCTGCTGGGTAATACCCGATCACACAATCCTCTGTTAGACTATAGCTGGGGTCGCATGGATTATCACGTGCTGTTCAACCACGTAGATACTAACGCTAATTGTTCGACAGACCATAGCGTCACTGTAGGTACCATCTCAGTAAACGCGGTGTCGTTGGTGACGTGCGCATATATATTTGCCTGCAGGTTACAACGGTGTACGTCAATACATGCCTACTGGGCCCAATTAGGCAGTGCATCGTCGGCCATGATAATCATGGCGAAGGGGAAGGCTGGTTGTTGGACCGGATCACCATACGAGAAGGCATACACGGACGCTATCAGGTGTGTCTCATTATTCACGCTTCATGTTTTATTCGATTGTGAATATATAGTCAGTCAAGTTTAAAAAATCCAATTGATGATAGCGAATGTAAGTTACTAAATTCTTCGTATTTGTTATAGCCAAAGCAACGGTAATTATCGTGGAATGTATGCAAATGCGATATGTTAGTGATTTGGTTATCACGTGTACGGTGTATAGGCTTACGTGTGTCACCACTGACTTGTAGAGAAACGTTCACTCTAGCTTAACGTGCACGTGTAAATCTAACACTTGTTATTTTCACCGTTGCAATGGAAGGCCACGTTCCTGTGCAACCAGTGGCTAGACATCGGCCGAGACGATCACATGGTAGAGAAACACCTGTCTCCATCAAGTAAGCATCTGTTTGTCTGCCTATCCGTCGATCCATCCATCCATCCATCCATCCATCTATCCATCCATCCATCCATCCATCCATCCATCCATCCATCCATCCATCCATCCATCCATCCATCCATCCATCCATCCATCCATCCATCCATCCATCCATCATC